GAGAGAGAGAGAGAGAGAGAGAGAGAGAGAGAGAGAGAGAGAGAGAGAGAGAGAGAGAGAGAGAGAGTTATTATTTGAAAAAAAAAGACTCTGGACAACCCTTTGGGCTGACTGTACAATAAGCAAACATGTGTTATTTAATAAATTGTTTTGTACAAAACCTGTCGTGGATGTGTTTCAACCATCAAGTAGCATTTGCATTTCGCATCTCACATTACGCACTATCAATTTATTGTACACATTGTTGCTTGTCTTGCAAGGATATGCAGTGCGTCATGTGTAATGTGAGCCAAAATATATCAACGTATGATTTTGCAAGAACATGAATCGCTTGGACCGTTTGCAAAAAACGCATTACGCATTTCGAAAAAAATTAAATATGATGCCACAAAGCAGTATTGGGCAGACACTACAAAACATGTTCATCTTAATGTTGGGCGAGAAGTACATGACTGGTTGACTACTGCGTGCCATGTTCTTGTCGTGCATGGAAATGATCCTGGAAATTGGCACCCGGTAGCCAACCCGCATGTGAATTTCGTACTGTCTATCGGCTTGGGAGGAAAGATGTCTCTCTCTCCCTCTCCCTCTCCCTCTCTCTCTCTCTCTCTCTCTCTCACAAACAGGGTCAGTTTTCTGACGAATTTCAAATATTCCCAACAATGTCGGAAATGTTCAACAGTTGATCATCACATTTTCAACAATATTTCAACAACTTTTCAACAACTTTTCAACAACTTTTCAACAGCTTTTCAACAATTGAACAAGTGTTGAACACAGTGTCGCATGTTTATGACATATGTTATCAACGTTGAGTTCCTTCACTTTTGGTGGAACACATGACACTACCTTGGCCTACCCGATGTCAAATTTTCAGATATTTTCTCCAATTATTCTGCGTACGAAAAATCGCCGAAGTTGGCGCTAAAAAATTGCAAGATTGGACCCCCCTGCGCCTTCCAGTCGTTGCCCCCCTAAAAACCCGCCCTAACTCAGCGGAATGCCAATTTTCAGGACCCAGCCTCCCCGTCCTCCTGCGGGCAGCTACCGGTCCTCCAACAACGAAAACTTTTCAGGATCCGGCCTCCCCAACCTCTTGCGGGCAGCTACCGGTCCTCCAACAACGAAAACTGCCTATTTCCCATGAATTGGACCCCCAGCAAATACACCACCCTTCCAACTACCACACCGTTTGGTGACGACGACGAAATTTCTCAGGAGCATAAAACGCACCCCTAACGGGCTGCGAACATAGACGCGGGAACCCACTATACAGGGAGTACCGGGTTTTTTTTGGGTCTGACCCTTTTGCTCTGATAGGGGCACGTGGACCTCGGTTTTGTTCGCAACCCATCAGGGTTGCGTTTTCCCCCCCGGAAGACATTTTTCATCGCCGTCGTTATACCGGTCGTTCATTCCAGCTGGTTGGTCGTTGGAAGGCTAAAAAAATGCAGGCATGTGCAGGCAGGGCACTTTAGGGGCTAGTGGCAGCAAGTGGTAGCTAGTGGCAGTTTCTTTTGGACCGGTAGCTGCTCGTGGGACTGCGCACGCGCACTGGGTTGACGCAGACCACGGTCCTTGAGCGGTCCTTGAGCTGCGAATTTCAAAAAGGAAAGGGCGCGGGGGCAAGGACGGAAAAGGCCGAAACGATGTTTGTCACAGATGTGTCTAAATGTGGACGCATTCAGCGCCCCATTCAGACACATCTGTGCCCCGGTGTTCTGCGTGCCATCTCAATCGCTTGGGTGCCATCTCTCTCTCTCTTTCTCTCTCTCTCTCTCACTCTCTCTCTCTCTCTCCCTCTCTGTCTCTCTGATAGTCATTGACCGAGTAGCTCCGAGCGCAACGAAAGTCAAACTGGCCAGAGAAAACGGGGTAAAGGTTTTTTTTTTTTTTTTTCTCTCTCTCACACACACACACACACATACACACACATACACACACACACACACATACACACACACATCTCTCTCTCATGGCAAGCGCCATTCTACACCCCGCCCACGAGCTCTCTCTCTCTCTCACACACACACACACACACACGAACACGCATACGCACAACGGGTCGCTTGGTTGTACTCTCTCTCTCTCTCTCTCTCTCTCTCTCTCTCTCTCTCTCTCTCTCTCTCTCTCTCTCCGCCTAAGGGGTCAACCATATACAAACTACGGGCTGCGCGCCTGTGCCCTCACGGTAAGTCAATCATTTGTCACAATCTGAGATGCATGGCC